CGTATTGCCCGCTAGTGTGAATTGTGTTTGTGTTTGTTGCCCCTGTCCAAAGAGTGAGCATTATGCCTGATGGGTAGTGTTAAATCCTGCCCCCCTTTTCCCTCCTCCCTCCTTTTGGTGTCCCCAGTGCCTATTCTTTCCATCTTTGTGTCCATGGGTACCTACTGTTTAGCTCTTACTATGATTGCTTTTTTCAAACAGCTCATGAAGTTGCAATGCTTACAACATATCCACCTCTTCTGGAGAGGACAAGTTTAGCTTGAAAGTGAAATATTTGGTCCTCATTCCTTTTCTCCCTTAAATTTGCATGGCATGTTATTTAAGGTAAGCAGAAATTTCTGTGAAAGACTCATAACCCCTCTCCCTTTCTCTGAGGAAAAGGAGAAGTACAATTGCAGGAAATGAAGAGCACATTTTCTAACAAATCTGTGACCTTAGTGAGAACACAGGGGTCCATGGAAAAAAGGGCTATTGGACCAGGATTTTCATATCACTTCTAATACTCACTTCTTGTGTGGCAGTGAGCAACCTCCACAATTAAGCTCCAGATTTCTTCACCTGTAATAGTGAGAAGGTGTGCCCCTCACAGGATGGTTTTGAGAAAAAAAAAAAAAAAAAGGTCAACCTGTATATGTAAAATGACTGGCACACAGAAGGCACCAATCAAATGGTAGTCTCTAAGCAAATATATTGACCATTCACTGCCTTATGCTTTGTGGACCTGGCATGCAAGTAAAAAGAATTTAAAAGAAGAACATAGCACAACCTATGATCCCAAGACATCTGTATTCTTTACAAATGGCCAACACCAAAAAGTTCATTTTTGTAGGCATTTAAAAACAAAAAATCAAAAACTATCACCAGGATCTAGTCTGGGAATTAACACATAAGACCCAGCTGAATCCTTCAAGGAGATTTATTTCTATTAAGAAGACAGATCATTACATAACCCCAGAAAAAAATGTGATAGTTGCTAATATGTAAGTATTGACTCGTGCTACATGGCAGAGAGGGAGATTTGTACAAAGAGAAGACAGGGTTATAAAGACATTTAATTTGTATCTAAAGTAGTGAAATGAGAAGTAGTTCAAACAGTGGCAATGGCAGGGGTAAACTACAGGCTTGAAAGTAATTGGGGTTTCCTGGAATAAGGACTGTTTCAAGGGATCAGCACATGGATTGATGGTCATCGTGTGTGCGTGTGTGTGTGTGTGTGTGTGTGTGTGTGTGTGTGTGTGTGTGTGTTTGTGTGTGTGTGTGTGTGTGCACGTGAACGCATGCGTGCAGAAGGTAGGTTAAGCATGAGATCAGGTCAACTCTGACCAAGCAGAATCAGCCTATGGCATTTGGATTTGGTACTGCTGACCACAGGGAGACATGGTGACATTTTTACACAGAGAAATGACAAGATTCAATGTCCGTGGCTACATCCTGGCTCTAGAAATGGTCCACTTCGGTGAAGGTGCACTCAACACCTGTTACCTGAAGGAAAGTTTGTTGTGTCTCCTTGGGGTGGTATAGTTTCACCAAAACTGGTTGAGGGACATATTGATTACTCATTGCCTTTTTCATAATGGGGAGTCAGTCAGAAGCAGGGATATCTCGTCAGTGTTCTGCCCCATCTCTCTGCGGACCCATGAGAAACTTTTTCAAGGTGCCAGTCTGGTATTCATACCCCATCTGTCATGGTTGTTGCTGCAGTCCTGACCCTCATTAGAGCCGTGGGCAAGGCCGCCCCATTCAGGGCCACCTCCACCTCCCTCTCAACCGGCCTCTACACCCGAACAATCACACCAGAGTCAAGTTGATTGTTTCCTATGGAAATCAGCCATGTGGAGCCCTGGGGGAACAGCTCTGAGCTCTTGTGTTCATTTTCTTCCAGGATGGACGAGGAGTGGGGAGGGCAGTTTCTAGTCCTTCACATATGCCCGAGAGAGAATGGGACAGGCAAACAGAGGAGAGAGCCAGAGAGACTGGCAGTGGATCAGAGTGAAAAGTGGTAAGGAAGTAACAGCAGACTTGCTTGCCTAGCTCACAGGCAGTTTTGTTGAGGGGAGAATTTCAGATTCGGAGGGCTCTACAAACAGAGTGGGCAACCTCCTAGCTGAGGAGCCTAAATATTAGCATGTTAGGATACTACACTGAAGCTGGCATCAGTAGACACCTTATTCGTTCTACTATTATATCAAAGATACCACAAGTGAATGAAACGTGCCAGTTTGCAGGTCATTTGTTTATCTTTGTTCTGCTGGACATAGTTGGATGGATTTATTTTTTAAATTGATTTGTGACTCAGTGCTTATCAAAGAGCCAGAATGTTTGGCATTGTGTTGATGAAATATCTGCAGATTTGACAGTTGGTTTTAGTCTTGCTTCCAATACTCTTGTGTTACTTTCACATTTTACTAGAGTTACTTTGCAATTTGCTGTATTTATGTAACACATGTATAACATCTCTCTATTTGTTTTCATTTTGTTTTGTCATTGTTTTATTTCCTGGACATCTTGTTATACCTTTACAATTTTTCTAGACATATCTCATCCATAGCCCTTACTTCTCACTTCTCTCTCCCATCTTTTTGGCAAAGAAAGCAAACACGAGTTACTGTATGACTGTATTTTTAAAAAAATCCAAACGGTATATGTATGAGGAAAAACATCTGATAACATAAAATTAGGGATATTTCTGCTAATCTGAGACATTTGTTTATTTGGGATTGAGATTGGCTCAGGGCCTAGGTGTTTCTCCAAGTGGCAATATGGGTGGATGAGGGGGCTGAGAGTTGGATCAGAGGGTGACTGGATGGACAGACCCAGACAGCTGAGATTTTGATTTGAGGAATGTAGACACACAATAACCATGTTCCTTTCTTTGGCTTGCCTTGTGTTTATTCTTTGACAGCATCTTATTAGAATATATATATATAATTGAGTTGGAGTCTCACTCTGTTGCCCAGACTGAAGTGCTGTGGCACATTCATGGCCACTGCAGTCTCAGCCTGCTGGGCTCAGGCGATACTTCCGCCTCAGTCTTCCATAGAATACTTCTCTTTAAAAAAAAATATTAGGCTTCCCAATCTCTTGCCAAAGTGAGTAGTAACATTGAGAATAGTCTGACATTCAAAGCCTCCGCACGACAGTCTTCTTCTACTCCCCATTTATCCAAACCGGACCACATTTTCCTCCTATTAATGCAGACTCTGCTTTTGGATTCTCCTGGATCAGTACTTTTTCTCTTAGGTCCTCCCTTTGCTAGGGATTCTTATAACCCTCTCCCCACCACCCCCATTCTTATCCCCTCCAGGAACCTATCTCAGTTGTGCCAGATTTCTCAAAATCAACCAGATGGGATTTGGCTCCTTCCTTTAAGTCTTCATGACAGTTATTACTTCATCTCTGCTATTTATCAACTTTTATCTTTGAAAAACAAAACAAAACACAAGTATCAAGTTCCCAACCGTAGTCTACACTCTTATTTAGAGTAGAGGGTAGTTGGTTATTTCCTCCAGTCCTCATTCCGTCAGACCCTCATGCTTGAAAAATATATAATCCCCTGTATACACACACATATATCTATTCACACATCCTCTATATATAACTGTATATAGTGAGTGAATTTAAGTACCTTTTCGTGTTCCAACTTTAGATCGCAATTTATTCACATATGAAGTTAAAGAGGTCTTATTTGATAATCTCCCACCTGCGTTGATTGATAAAGTGTTTCAGATTCCATACTCCTTTATAACACCTTCATTCAGGGCATAATTTAGGACTGCTGGGGGGCAGAGGCTGGCCTTTAAAAATAATGCCTTACTCATAGAGTCTGCTCCGTGCTTCCTTGTTTATTTGGATTATAAAGACATGTCTAGAGTCTGCTTTACTTCCGAGAAGTTCGCAACGAGCCTCTCTTTTGCTGTGTCTCCTCCCCAGTCCCGCTGTGACCGCAGCGGCCGTCCCTGAGCCTGGGCCACAGCTTGTTGGGAGTTCAGCTTTCCAGAGAAGGCTGCAGACGCTGGGAGGGTGACAGATGGCTCTGCTGCAGCAACAGTTTGAGGAAAGAGTCACTGAGGGGCACCCAGGAGGGGTGTGTGTCAGACCTTTCTACTGGGTAGGAGAAAAGACCCCAGGAGGGGATATACATATCCGGGCTCATTTTATAGGCTTTTGCAAATTTGGACTAAGAAAACAAGTGCAAACTAAGAAGTTTCTTCCTTTTGCAAAACGACTTACTTTTGACTCTGCCCACCGTCCTGCAAGCCTTTGCCCGGTTACCCTCTGTCTCTGCTGTCCCCTCCCGGTCAGCCTCCTTTTGCACTTCACACTGGGTTCTTTTCTGATTTAACCAGTTCTGGGAAGGGGGCAGAACCTCTCTCACGCTCAGGGCTAAGCTCCCTAACCTGATGCTTGAATTCTGAGGCATGATTTCTAGAATACTGGAGTTTTGGGGCTTGGAGGGATGCCAAGGGCCTCTGAGATTTGAACCCTGAGAGGACTAGGGGAGGATTCTGCAGTGGCAGGCATGGCCGGGATATGGAAAAGACAGAGGGGCTGCTGATTTTGTTTCCAAGTCTGCTTCTGAGCAAGTGATTCAGTGCCAGGGCTTAATCGTGCTGTTGAGTGTGTCTGTTCGCTCACGTGCAGCCCTGGGCCCAGCCCTTCCCTCTGGGGCCATTAACTCTGGAAATCCTCATCCCCGGAAGTCTTTTACATCAGCCCCCAAGGAGTAGACGGGGTGTCCACCTGGTGGGTGCTGTGGGGAATTGCAGCTTGGAAAGGCTGTTTCCCAATCACCTTCTCCACAGGACCTTGGGAGACTGCAGGATTCTTCCCAAGGGCCAGTCATGCGGCCCACACTCCCCAGGCTTCCCACTCCTCAGACCTGTCCCCAGTCAACTCGAGTCCAACGTCCTGCAACACTTTTCATTCAAGCAAGTTCTTCTGCAGCACCCACCTTATCCCTTTCGTGAAGGGCTACACCTGCGAAGGTCTTTAACTACACCATGGATCGGTTTCAGCATCTTTCTCTGAAAGAGTGTGATAAAGTTAGTGGTTGTGGGGTCAAGGATGTTGGACGTGAGTGTGGTTCAGACAAGCCAATCTGTGGAAGATATGTTTCCAGATTGGTCAAATGGGATGGCGTTTTCTGTTTTACATAATGGTTAATGCTTTACAGTTTGTAAAAGCGGCTTAAAATATAATTTATATAGACATAGGGCTGTGGTAAATGGCCAAGAGAGATGATCAATATGAGAATGTAAGTTATTCTAATAGGAGGATTCATATAATTAAGGACCTGAATCTTAACGGAAGTCTAAGGGAGATTTGAGATGATTCTACCCACTTTCCAGGTGGGAAATCTGACTTTCCACGGAACAGGTCGGAATCAAAATAAAATGAGATCTTGGCTTCTTCATGTCACCCTCCAGGCACTGTCCACTAGATCACACTGGTTTTCAACCTTTCTAACATATGTTCATGTGTCAAGCAATAGATTCTGCTTCCAAGATGATGCCTTGAATGCTACATCCTCCAGAAGGGAAGAACATTGTTCCTTACATGGCAGCAGAGCAGAAGGGGGAATCCACTCCCCAAAGTCCTTTTTACTGTGGCATTAATCCTTTCATGAAGGCGAAGCCCTCATGACCTCAACACTCCTGAAAGGCCCACCTTCCCAACGCTGCTGCATTGTTAAGTTTCCAGCACGTGAGTTTTGGAGGGACAAACGTTCAAACTGTAGCAGGATTTTACACCCAGTGTCTTCTCTGTGTTGGCCAACCTGAAGAGAGAGATGGCAGAGTAGAGAAAAGAGAGATGTTACACATCACACCACAGACCCATGTAAATGCTTCTCCCTGTTCTAGAACTGAAAGTCTTGCATTCTGGAAAAACTCTCGAAACCAGGAAGGCCAGTCACCTGACTGGGTTCAGCCTTCAGGAGAATCTGATTTTAAAGTCAAGTAAAATGTTTATCGACTTCTATAGTTCAGTATTGCTTTAACTTGAAAGATAACCATTTATTTTGTGGTTAAAGTAAACAAATGAAGTTCAGCGAAATAATGATTAGGCTATTGGTATCAGAATTTCTCCTAGTTTGTTGTAGAAAGGGGCAGGAAATTGGAAGTCACTAGAAGAACTCCCTCTTAGGATAGAGAGAGCTGGAACTAAAAGGTTTGAAGGACCTAAGATAAACTTGTTCACTGTACCATTTATGTATCCTTCCATCTTAGAAGCAGCAATCCTCACAGGATCTAGGGCAGAGGAAGGACCCGATGAAGGTTTATGATACTGTTGGGGCATCTGCCCTGAGGACCAGAAGGTGCTTTTGTAACTCCAGTTCTGTCACTATTTTTTGACTTTGGATAAATCACTATTTTTTGACTTTGGATAAATCACTTAGTTTTTAAGAAACTCAGTTTCCTTTTTGGGATATGAAGGGAAACTTTAGCTAAATTGATCCCGAAGTTCTTTCTAGATTGAACATTTCTTAGGATTTAATGGGAACATTTTCCTTTTTGACCACTGACTAAGCCAAGAATGGATGGTGCTATCATGGGGATGTGCTGCCATCTGGTGGTAGTTTGAGTTATCTGCATGCACTTGCTTACTGGGAAAATTTCTGATACGATGTGGTGTTATTTTCTCCCAAAGTAATACAGACATTAGCTTAACATTTGGAAACTTCAGGATACAATACCCCGTTCTTGATCTTGTTTCTACTGACTAATTCTATAAGTGATTGCACACCACACCTACATGTATAAAAGCATGCAGATTTTAGTAACACAAATTAATCCCATTTATGAATCCAATTATTTCTTAAACATTGGTTACGAAGTGTTTCCATCGCACACAAGTCATTTTAAAGCTAGTTTTCAAAGAATACATTGTTCAAAGTTCCACACACATTTCATTAGGGAGCTTCTCTTGCACAATGGCTTACTGCTAGTGAGCACTCAGTAAACATTTATTGTATAAGAAATAATAAACAGAGTCAACATGTATTGAGTGCTTTTTATATGCTAGGTCCTTATCTGGGTACATTAAAAATATAGCTTTAAAATATAGGCGCTAATTATGAGTACTAATGTACTGATGTAGGTACTTTTTTTTCTTGGTAGAGATGAGGTCTTGCTATGTTGCCAAGGCTGGTCTTGAACTTCTAGCCTTAAACAATCCTCCTGCCTCGGCCTCTCAAAGTGCTGGGATTACAAATGTGAGCCACTGCTCCTGGCCGGATCTAGGTACTTTAGAAATATATTCAGAAATATACTTACTCCTATCACTTTTTATCTCATATCTCTTCTCCAAAGTCTAATAAAGTCTCAATAGGACCCTAGAGAGGATAAGACCATGGAGCTGCCCTTTCAGGTCTGGGTCTTTAGTCTTGGAGCTCTAATACTGCATTCAGAGGAAAATAAACCTCAAACGCTCTGCTCTGTATAAACTCTGTGTTTAAAAAAAAAAGCCCTGCATCTTGAACAAAATCAGTTCCCTTCAGTTATTTACAGTTGAATGATTTGTGTGGGGTGGTTTCTGTGTTTCCTTGGAAGACCCAGTGGATGCTTAATTATTCAGCTAAGCAAGCAGCCCACCAACTGTGACACCTGTTTTTCTTAGTTTAAGGGAGATTCAGAACTTGTTCTTTCATTTGGGATGAGATAGTTCAGCATGCTGAAAATTCTCGGGAAGTTTATGGGGTTGGAAGATTTAATTTTTTTCTTACATTCTCTATCTTTAACTTGCTATACATTTATATTAATAAGACTTCTAAAGCACCTGATATCTTTTGCGCCCTAAGTCTTAAACATTCATTATTATAAATACAGTGGATTAGTGTGCTGTCCTTTGATGGTAAGGCAGTTGAGTTTCCTGTGAGCTAAATTTTAGTACCAGGTCAGGAAGCCGACATGTTCTTAAAACAGTATATTAAAAGTATATTGCGATTTTTGTCACAAAAAGCAATCTGTTTCTAGTGTATTCTACTCCTAGAGAGTGAATAAAATTATAAGCATATGATAGATGTTATGTATGAGATTTTATGGATTTTATGCCTGCAAGGAGAGCACTTATGCAAAGTGGTGATAATTGGTATCATTTCTTTAAAAAGTTTACAATAATCCTGGGTCACTATCCAAGACCCAAGTATCTATTGTATCAAACAAAATTTTTATTTTGAGTCTTTAGTGGTAGCAATGATTAGTTTTACATTTAGAATTTCCATTTTCTCAAAAACATTGAATGACTCTGTATAAGTAAAGATACGGTGGTTTAAGACAACGAAGGTTTTTTTTTCCCTTCAGGAGAGGGAACCAACAATTTTGGTTAGATTCTGCTGGAGGTCTATTAAGGTTCATTGATCTTGGCTGGTCTCAGTTGGGGTGAGTTGGATGAATCTTAGCTGTTCCACGTGTCTCAACATGCTGCAGTCTCCCCCAGGCATGTCCTCATGACAGAGGCAGAGAAAAAAGAAAAAAAAATATGGAATGGTTTTTCAAGCTTCTGCTTGTGTCACGTCTTCTAACATCACAGCTTTGGGACAGAGATAGCCTGCACCACTTTAGTGATTGAAATTGCAAAAGATACAGAGCAAGGATACTTTTATTTTATTTAATTTATTTTTTTTAATTTTTAAAGGAAAGACACTTATTTCTCACAATTCTGAAGGCTGGGAAGCCCAAAGTTGCAGGGTCTGCATCTAGTGAGGGCCTTCTTGCTGTGTCATTCCACGACAGAAGGAGGAAGATGAACAAAAGCAAGTGAGCAAGAGGGGGCCAGACTCACCTTTATAATAAACTCACTCCCTCAGTAATTACATTAATCAATTCATGGAGACAGAGCCCTCATGGCCTGATCATCTCTTTTTTTTATTATAAAGATGTGGGGTGCAACTCAGGGTTAGGTATACAAACATTGATTATGCAGTTACCCTTGTTGATGAGGTGTGCCCCTCCCTCCCCTAGCAGTTTCCCTCAATTGCCAATCCCACTCCCCCTCCCCTGACAGTTGCAAGGATACTTTTAAATGGAGGTTGAGAAATTGAGCCGTTCCCATAGTCTCTTGATCCGGAAACCTATACGATAAAAAGTCAGCTTATCTGCACTTATACAGCCAACATACAGTGGAAGTACAGACAGAATAAACATTCCCCACTGAGAAAGAGAAAGAGTGAGAAGCATGCAGCATCACTGGTCCACAGCAGTTCTGAAATCCCACTCGCTCAACTTGCAAGGAGGGATGTGGTGCTCTTAGTTTTTATCCCTAGAAGTGGGTCACCAGCCCCCTGTTCTTCATAGCTCTATCCTTTGACACATCTTCTGTTTTCACTATAGTCCTTGGCTCCTTCTGACGAAATGTCCCTCACAGGCATCTGAGTTGCTTTCTCAGCCTGGTTGTTGTCTATAGAAATTTGAGAGCCTAGAGCGTTTTGTTTTTTTTTTCCAACTCAATCTTCTACTTGACCCTTTGCCTGAAATAACCCTTGATCTTTACAGACAAGGAAATGATACTGTTTTTCTATCATTTCTGAAGTGTGACTTCCAATTATCAACTTAGCAACTGTGGAAAACGGTTGGATAGTTTCAGGGTCTCATTAATGCAGACCAAAATATCATTCATTTATCACTTTGAAACCCTAAGTCTGACTAATAAGACTCAGGCACATGTTGTTGTGCCTTCAGGACTTCTAGTAAGCAGGAGGCAGTGTCTGACAGTACTCTAGAATGTTTGGTTACTTTTTTTTTTCCATCACATTTAAACATTTATCCTGCCATATTGATGTATGCCCACTGGAGGAAGACTGATAGAAAGTTACATGGTGCACATGTGTGCTGTTAGAGCAGGCTTATTCTTCAATGATACTTAGTTTCCTTGCAATAAAATAGGTGCATGTCTGGATAACTTGGAGTTTATTTTTAAATGGTAGACTTTTCCCCCCACACATCCTGGATATTTGTTCCTCATCACAAATATACATTATCTTCTAGTCGGTCAGTGGTCTTTACATTTAATTAATGGGGTCTCCTGAGAACAGAATATTTTAAATTTGCTTAACTATAACATAATTTTTTGTTTTA